CTAACCCTCAATTATTTTTCCACAGAGCTTGCTGTTAGTTGAAATTAATTAAATAATTAAATAGTAAAAGCTTCAGAAATGTATAACATCTATTGACAGGAGCAAGTTGTGATATCTCATTCATTTAAGAAAATTACCTTTCCAAAAATGCTCAGTCTGTTAGAGTCAACAAATGGTTGTTTCAACAAGTATCTGTAACAGAGAAGGTAATATATTACAAAAACAAAAATCATGCTTGAGCAATGTTTTTCTGTATGTAAAGAATATGTGTGTTTGTGTATTTGTTTGTTGTTTGCCTCTCCACCTATGTACCTAACTGCTGCACTGCAGTACAAATTCTTTCTTGATTGCATTAGACTGCTAAATTGTCACTGTCTTCAAAATTGTGAATCCACTCATATAAGACATTAATCAGAAATAGCATGGAAAGCTTTTTTAAAAATGAAATAATAAGTAGATATTTTAACCCGAGGAAACTACAGCTAATCCAACATGGGATTCCATTAAAAACGTAACAATAAAACCAATAATGTATTGTAATACACTGGGTGCATTTATATGTTCTATTAAGCTATGCTGCCCTGTTTGATTCAGCTTAGGTCCTCCCTACTAGCAAACACCAAGCAGCTTTTTTGAACTTGGATTCAATTCTCACAATCCCTTGAGGCAAAGAACAACATTACTTGGCAGATTCATCCTACTTTTTTAAACTCTCCAAATCTTACACCACCCTTTACAACAGCTGAGGGCAGGAAGTTAGTTTGAAGATCAAACCTGCTATATGCTTTGCATATATTCTGTCTTCCAAGCAAAACAAACTTCTGGGAATTAAGAAGGCATAGTAGTAGACTACTTAATGTAAAGCTAGCTATGATAAATCCTAAAATTAAGTTTGACAAGAACAGTACAGTTTTAAATCACATGTAATTATTCACCTCATTCACATATCTGTATGCCAAAAGCAGGACCAGGGTTGATATTCATGTATTTTTAAGAAAATAAATTACCAAATTTGTCAAAGGACAGTAACTGCAACCAACAATAAATCATTTTTAGGCACTAAAATCATGTAGATTTAATTTTGTTGTAGCAGGAACAGCAACATATGCTTGATAATAGGTCATTATTTATTATACCTATAGCACTGAAGTGGTTTAGTGTATTTCAGTTATGCACATCTGGAATGCATTCCACATCATGCAATGCTTTTCTAGTCAATAAAAATATCAATTAGATAATGTAGACTAGTTAGACTAAACCTAGAAGCAGATTTGATGCTTTATTAAACTTTTCTTCCTCTCAGATAGAGTGTGAGTTATAATGAACCCATACAGTACAGATATAAAACACAATACATTTCCATCTGTCATATCAAACTAAACAAGAATTTTGAAAAATAAATAAAATTTTGCACATACGTACTCTACTGCTGCTATCTGGTCCTTCACTTCCACTGATCCTAGTGAACGGTGGACCTCTTGCAGAATCTTTAGTCCTTGAAATCCACTCCCTCTTCCATCAAACTGAGCTATGATGACATTATCAGAATTGACAAGCACAGAATCCCAGTCAATGTGAAACTTATCTGTAACCAACTGGCCGCCTGGAGCTTCATTGCTGTAAATACCAACACACCAGAGACAAAGGTAATTGATAACATAATGCATATTCAAATTCCTCAATAATTTTTGTAATCTAAATTGCAGAAAAAGAATGATTTAATCCTTCTGAAATACTGTTTATTTCATAGCATCACATTAACCATTGCTTATCCTTTATGGGAGCAGCAAAGAAAAAAAGTTGTTGAACTGTACAGAAACAAGTGGTTGAGGTTTAATATGGCATTAACTAATCTCATAGCTGGAAAATTATAAAACTTTTTTTGTTTTCTCTTTTTGCTTTTAGTGCCCTGAAAAAGGCTCACAAGATCTCGGTCAAAGACCATGGATTTAACTTTCTAACAAACATTGCTCTGCCTATTGTATAGTAGAATGGGAATTGTTACATAAAAGATAGGGTTATAAAAATCAATTATGTATGTTCTCAGACCTGCTGTTCATGTGATGTAAAATCAGCATGGGCTATATATAAATGATATATGCATTTTCCTTGCTTGATCCTCATATCTCATATATCTGAATGAGTTATATGTGTAGTCACTGCATAGCATCTTCTGTACAAGATTCAAAGTCCACAGAAAATAGCTTAATGGATTCTTCAAATATTCTGTAGCACAAAGACATCCTTAATTTTGTTGATCATGCAAGACTAATATTGGGACAGTGGATATCGGGGGGAAGAGGCTTAAAATGGAGACAAAATTAGTTCAGCCGTATTCCTTTCCTATACACATACCCAATACTAAATGCTTGGGATTCATACTAATATTTTTAAATGGCCATTTGAATCTAAAGATTTGCAAAATGCAATATTTAGGGACACATTTTCAAAAAACTTATTTTGTAGCTGGGAATAATATTCTAGGGGTAAGCACTTCAATTCTGCTACCTTTTTTCTACACTGTTGTTAATAGCATTTCCCCCCCAAAGATAATGAAAAGTTGGTTTTTAGAAAGGTTTATTATTTTTCTGTCAACCATAAATATTAAGCAACAGAGAAATCTAGGAAGTAATAGTATAAAATGTCTCAGTGAAAACGTTATGCCAGTAGAATTAAAATAAATGTAAAACTGCTTGTGCATTGTATGGAAATTAGATTGAGAGTATCTATGAAAACAGTGGATGGAAGAATCAAGAGAAATAAAGATTGAGTCTGATAGATATAGAGGAACATGATAAAATAAGAAACACTCTTTCAACTATTATTGTTCCTGGGACACTTTGAACTGCTACGCTTGATGAACATAATCTGTCAATTCTCCTTGACATTTTACAACAAGGCAAGTATCTTCCTTTCTCTCATTTATTTATTAATTTAGCAGGATTTCTATGCTATCCCAATCACAAGGCTCACAAAAAATAAAACATCACAAAAATCACAAAACATTAAAAGAATCAGAAAACAGATAATACATCTAGTTGGTAATATTTGGCAAAAACAATTGTCCAATTAATTATAATCTGAAAGTCCAGTGAAAGAGGATTGTTTTTTTCTCCTTCCTGAATGTCGACAGGTACAGTACTATCCTTACATTGGGGGATGGATTATTCCGTAATGTTGGGACAGCCACAAAGAAGACACATTTCTTCACTCCTTCCTCCTTAGCTTCACTGAGGGTGAAGATATGCAACACGTCTTCAGGATTCAAACATGTAGGATGGGTGATAACCAATACTTTACCCCCCCAAACATATGGACAACCAGTGTAATAAATCATGAAGAGCTGTTGTTCTACTGAATTGACTTCTGCCTGTCAGCACAGTGCAGTGTGTTCTGTACCAACTTAAGTTTCTAAATCATTTTCAAAGGCATCCCCAAGAATGGGGCCTTTCAGTTGCAGTAGCCAAAGCATTCAGTTCCAAGAACAGTTGCATCTTGTATACTGCAAAAACTGGATAAAGTTTACTATGGCCATAGCCTCCACTGTTCGAGTAAGAGCTGTGAGTCCAGAGCAATCTCTAGATCACAGACTTGCTCCTTTAGGGGGAGTGCAACCCCATCCAGAGCCAAAGCTGGAGCATCTAAGAAGCCAGATGGTTCCTGAACAGCCATTCTGTTCTGAAGGATTTCTATCTAAGTCTGCTTCAAACCTTCAGAGCCTCCAGATACCAGGCCAGTGCGTCCACTGCATTTTCTGAAGGTGAAGATGTAAAACTGGGCATCACCAACATACCGATCCCATACCTTGGGATGGTAGATTACTTCTCGTAGTGGTTTCATGCAATTGTTAAATAAGATAGGCATCTGGCATAGTGGATGACAGATCTCTAAGATTAAATATTTTAAAATACTACTGGAAAAAGATTAAATCTATAATTATAACCATAGTTTGAGAACATAACCTCTGACAAAAAACAGAGTTATGCAAATAACATAAATTAAGCCTCAGTGATTTCAGGAAACCTTAGTTCTAATATGACAAAGTTGGCCTACAAAGCTGACATTTACCAAGTCTGTGCCTGAACATACTAATTATATATGCTTTATAAACTTCTAGTGATAAGAAGATTTGGTATAATTCAAAAACTCTGCCGAAGCCAGTGTAGCTTTTAAACAGAGAACAGATAGCAATTACAGAGCAAAATGATGGACTTTAATTGGTACTCTGTATGTTTCTAACAGTGCAGTCCCACATTCCTTAGCTATAAGTGAAAAATGAGACAGCATTACTTGGTTGTTACATTTTCAAAATAATCTTTTGTTTTGATATCGGAAGTCATAAGACTCCATCATCATTTCTCTTTTGGTTTCAGAGGGTAATATATTTTGGCCTGGGGCAACGAATATTGACTATTGTTAGTTCTGGATCATATTTTCCCTTTGTATCCATCAAGATTGCTGTGAAACTACAGTGCTTTATTAAAAAAAAAAAAAAGTATGTTTTCAGCAGAAGGCGAACAAACAAAAGAATAATCTTATAAAACCTAGATTAATAATCAACTAATTGATAATACTTAATCTAGAATTTCAAGAATATCGGAGGGATCGGTCATAATAAACTCATAGCAATCATATTAAGGAGGAAAATAAAAGATTTGAAAACTAAAATTTGCAACCAAGGAGACAGATAATTGTTTTCTTAGACAGTTATAGTACCTCTCTCTCTGTCTACACACTATATGCTACAGGGTATATTATGTAGTTTGGAAAAGGTGAGCTTTAAGCAGATTAATCTGATATGAATAGATGGAAAGATTAGCTACTTGGTATTACCAAATGATACTCTCAAAATAGCATCTTGTTAACTATGCGCAACTGGCAATGCATCCTTCAAAGCAACCACATCAAACAGAACAAAAAGATAGATTATAGTAACACAACAAATCAGTCTGGGGCCAGACAAGGGAAAATTAAGATTCCAGCCAGCAAAACCTTTTTGCAACACAGACTTCATAGAGCAGCAACTCAGTCTTAGTTGTTACTCAGCACCAGACTTTACAAATTCATAGTAATAATTATGACTAAACTGACCATCAGTCCAAATATGCTTACTGGATTAGGATCCCACTGCTATACATTCTGAAGGAACTGTAGTATTACATTTTTAAAAAAGTAATTATGAATTGTTGCCCTTGCTTTGTATTGAAGAATCTGGCATGCATAATATAGTTTTCCAGGCTGTCACAATTAAGCTTTTTGTGGATGTTATCCCATGTACTTTTTTTTCTTTTTGTAGTAGACCAATAGATACCTTTTGTAGTAGCTGAGGTAGGCTGGAAGACAAGTAGAAAAATTGGCTTCTAAGAAGCTGATTGATTAACCAAAACATGGTGAGTCAACATGTTATTGATGCTGCTAATGGTATCAGGGAAGAGCAAATAACTCTCTCTTGTATTGATTCCAATTCCTGGAAAAAGGGCTTGACTCAAGTAAGGGCAGGAAAGTTGGGATGGTTGAATCCTGTACCTACTTTTGAAATGTATGAACCTGGATTTGTCTTGAAGATAGAATGCTTATTTAAAAATAATTTTAACTTGTAAGTCAAAGCACATAAAAGCAATAGAACACCATGCCAGTTTCTCTTCAGTAGAAGGAATGTTTGATTAGTTTGGGAACTTCTCCACTAATAGCGGTGCTTACCTTATTGGTCTATTTTATAAGATTTGTTTATTGCCTATTCAAATGAGTTTGGGCAGTTAACAATAACGGTGATCTATGATATTTGCTTCTACCAGCTCAGAAATGTAGAGAACAAGGTGTGAATTTTTTTTTTTATATCTATCTATCTATCTATCTATCTATCTATCTATCTATCTATCTATCTATCTATCTATCTGATATGGCCACCTAGCTCACACTAGGTGGCTTATAGCAAAACCAGTAAAACCAATATAAAACATATCTCACCTTTCCCAACAAGACACCATGGCAACCCATACTACTCATCCTCTTGTTCAACTCCATCCTAGCTGAATGCCTGGGGGAAAAGCTAAATCTTTATGGTTCTTTGGAAGGCTGAAATGGTACTCCTCCCCCTTACCCAGAACTCGGGTGGGAGCCTGTTGCAAAGGGTCAGGATGGCTATAGAGAAGGCACCACCATGCCCTGAAAGTTGTCCAACAATTCAGTGGGTCATTTGGATCTCAGAATAAGCCATTATGATCTCAAAATGGGCCATTCAAGAGTTCCAGCAGAGGACTGACTTGTCAGGCCACTTCTGAAGCATTTGCACTGGCCTGCTTCAGGATAAGATTACTTCCATAACATTCAGAATTGCCTGTTCCAAGATTGGAGTGAACTTTCTGGAGTGCTTAGAATGGCTGATCTGGGACCAACAAAAATCCTGCACCTCATTCCACATAAAGAAAAAGAAAATCCAGCTGCCTGGAGGGTTTGCATGCCTGCTTGTCCTGCACTGAAAAGAAGGGTGAAAATGGAAAATTTCTTGTCAATTTCACCCCTGTTTATTTCAAGGAAGGCTGCAGAGGGAAACTGCAAACCAGTGTAAGAAGCATTTTCCTCAATGTACCTGTACTTCAGGAGTGGGGAGGCTGAGT